ATAACTCGTTTTTATGCAAAATAAATGAATCTCTTTTGGAGAGAGAATAGGAGAAGAGAGAACATTATCTCTCTTATCCCGAATATTACAAAAGGTGCAAACGATAGCAAACAAGACTCAACGATATCTCGTTAATTTTGTAAAGTACAAACATTTATTAAACAGATATAAAACATTGTAACAAAGTACAAATTTTAAAAAAAGGCTTGCACAAAAATTTTCTTTCGTGCAACATATTAAGGAGAAGGCAAGATCAGTCAGTCAGTCAGTTATGTGCCATGCGTGATAAACGCTTAGGCGATCATGTATCTTTCGATACATGACTGACGAGGCAGATTTTTTCCTGCGGTAGGTTGCCACTTCTTTCTACAGTAGACCAGTTGCCATCCAAGGCTATAGAACCCGGTCTGTCCCGCTAGTTACCCATAGCTGTGGAGGGGGAGAAAAAAAGGATTCATACCTTTCCCAAGGGTATTAGCATACAGATTCCCTTGAGATTCTCAGAGAGGCTTTAACGATAATTTTTTAATGTCGTTTTGTTTCCTTTCTGCTTGGGCCCCACGTGGTTCACTGGGGTTGTTTAACGATCATTTTTGCAATGTCGTTCAGGTTTCTATTCCCGCGAGTCTCCGAAAAGTTTTACTTTATTGTGATTTTTTTTTTTTTTTTTGTCAGCGTAGTTTTAGGAATGCCAAACTTTTCAACCCTTTGCTCTGCTGGACACCTTCACACGAGAAAGCCTAAAAAATTTTCCGCGGCCATCTTCCCCTGCTTTATATCTGACGACGAAGTCAAGCCGACTTCCGTTGCACATGACATCTCATCCCGTTAAATCTCTAACTTATACTGCAGGCAGCAGACTTTGTCGATTCTGCCGTCCAACCACCTTCTGACGATGACCAGTGTTCTTAAATACTCTCCGGAATGACTCAACGGATCTCGACTTTAAATTTCCGACGGACAAAACTTACGATGGCAATATATTTTTTTTCTGAATTTGAAAAAAATAATCCCCAACAGTAATCTCTATGACAGTTATTTCTGGAGATTAATTTTAGAGCCAATTCTAAATATAAAAAAAAATATTACACAGAAAATTGAAATTTTTAATAAACCATCTGACTTCCGTTTTTTTTTTTTTTGTTTGTTTGTTTTTTTTAAGTAATTCACTCCAAGCAAGGCAGGAGTGCCACTAGTAGGCAAGGGGTTACTGAGGATTGAAAACAAGAGTAAAGAGGCGTGTTTGAGGAAAGGATACAGAGAAGGACGAGGAACAAGATCAAGGTATCAGAATATGTCGATTGACATTACACTTGAATATTTGAAGATTATAGTTATCAGGGAATCAAGCAAGAAGAAGGGAGTTCCGCATACGGGAAGTGCAAGAGAAGAAACTGTTTGAGTAAAAGATACGGTTACATTTAACCGTCTCGACAAAGCCTGGTAGCTCGCTTAAATTCATGCAGTCTGGAAACCAACGAAAGTAGCTCGTCGGAACAGTTGCCACGAAAATACTTGTAGAAGAGACAGAGGGTGGTCACGGCATATCTGTGAGAAAGCGACAGTAGACTAGATGCCAGATCAAGACCTATCGCATTGCATAATACACTTCTCTCAAAAGTAAGTGTATAAGACAAACTCAGACTATTTAACATTTATTTAACCACATTTGCTAATTAATTATTGTTTTTAATTATTTATACTACTAACTAATAAAACGTTTATACAAGTTAAATGGTCGTAATATCTTGAGATAATTAGAAGTCCTATCAAGATTCATTATTGGTGGACACAATCTTAACAATATAAAATATGAAGATAACACAGATAGAGAAAAGAAAATACAGGGACCCCTACAGAAGGTAATAAAAGAAGGCGAGAAGAAAGGACTAAACATAAATTGTAAGAAGACAGAATGAATTCTGGCTTCTTACAATTTATGTTTAGTCCTTTCTTGTTAGCAAAATGAACAACCTACGATAAGAATTACAAATTGGAGACACTAAAATAAATCAAGTACAAAAATTTAAATATCTAAAAAGTGTTTTAAAAGAAGACGGAAATGCGACGCCGAAATCCGAAAATGCATCGGTATAGCGAAAGATGCCTTCCAAAAGCTGAGCAAAGAAACAAGAAAATTTCGTTAGAAACCAAAAATAGGAGTACAGAATTTTTATGTAATAGCAGTCCTCCTATATGACAGTGAATACTAAACAATCTTCTGACAGATGAAGAAGAGACTCGAGGCAAGAGAAATGTGATTTTACAGCAGGGTGCTGAGAATACCATGGAATGAACATGTGAGCAACGAGAAAGTTTTAGAAAAAAATGACACTTATACTTCGCACCTGAAAGACAAAGTTAAAATTTGAAGAGACACGAACATAGAAAAAGAATATACTGAATGTTGAGGCTGACATTATGAGTCAGTTATTGTGACTGGATTTTTTTCATGTAATAAAAATTTTCACTTAAAAATTCTTTACTAAAAAAAGCTTCTTTTTTTTTCTAATTATTTTAACTGTTTTCCATCTCATTTTGTCATTGTATTTGTTGGTTTTATTGTCGATGTTGTTATTTTTAATTTTTATGTATTTATTTGTTTATTTTGTTTTATTTTTACTTTTTTTTATGTAATCAAACCAAAATAAATGGCCGTATTTGTAATCTTTCATTATATTTTGGATATGTTGTCCAGTTTTAGAAATGTTTTTCTACATCCCCCCCCCTCGGAAGGCATATATATATATATATATATATATATATATATATATATATATATATATATATATATATAATTGTGTATTTGGGCAGAAATCCTTCTTTTATACAAATCTCATTAAAGACGATTAACAAGGTACTGTGATTAAGGTTTTTATTTAATTTTTCTTGTGTTCGTATAAGTGTTTTCTTTTCTAGACATAAACTGTTTAAAAACTGTCCAGATGTTCTGTATATCCGAGCCCTTTCGGCTATTCTTTTAGCTATTATCAAGGACGTTGTTTTGTGTTTTTTTATTTGTAACGGAATGTGTAGATATCTTTATATATTTCCAGAGTGATGAGAAAGTTTTATCATTTTCTAAACACGGTCAACTCATCATGGCCGTGTTCATAGTTGATGCTACTGCGTGTTGGCATTTTCTTTTTTATTATTATTGTTCATATTATTTTTAGTCTTCTTTTATATGTGCTATTATACGCATAAGCGCGCGCATGCGTGTTGTGTGTGTCTGTGTGCGTCTGTCTGTGTGTGTGTGTGTGTGTGTGGTGTAATTGTTTTGTCTTTTTTTGAAGAAGTTACTTTCCTCTTTTTTTTTTTTTCCTTCATTCAGATTTTATGACCGTCTGGTCGTGTTTTTTAACGGCGACGTCTCTTCACCCAACAATTACGGACTCTATGTCCTGCCGCGGTGGCGCTAGTTAAATACTCTGAATAAACAATTATTTCAAAGCAAAGATCCTTCGCTTTTCAGTCGACAAAGTGAAAAGTAGAAAAGAAGGGAGAAAAGAAAAATAACTGAAGATTTTCTTCCCCACTACTACCGCCTTTTTCATTCTTTTTTCCCCCTTTTTGGTTCTCTTTTCATATATTTTGTTTTATTCCTCCAGTGGTCGTTGTCATTTATAAAGCGACTAAAAACGATACTGAAGACAAAAGTTGTAAAAAAAGAAAAAAAAAAAAAAAGTGAATGTCGTATCCCGTCCGGTAATGTTGTATATGAAAATAGTGCTAAGAGAACGAGGCACGGTAGTTTCTCCACCCACGATGGGAGGGTAGAGGGTCTCTTTTTAGGGCCACCAACTATTTATTTATTTACTTATTTATTTTATGAAGCGTCACGGAAATTGAACTCTGTTGACAAGTAAGGCAGGAAAACATTGACACCTTAGAAAGACTATGAGGAAAATTTGTATGCACTGTAAAAGATACTGCTCACAAAAAATAGCGGCAAAAATCCTTACTTACTGGGATTGCGCGCGCTGTTCATATTCCTCAGACCACTCGATAATTATTAGAAACGCGGAATATCTTAACATTTCTTCTTTTATGTACTGTATTTTTTCAGGAAATAGACGATCATAGCTCTCCACAACTTCCTATCCTTACTAGCTATTAGCAATTGTCTTTTTATTACTCCCTGCTTTACACAAGCTTGTTAGGTAGGTTACACGTTGGTTTCATATGTCATGTAAGCGTCAAATTCTCCACGCCTTCTTTTTCTCGTTATGAGTCTTAGAAAATTCAATTGTCTCTTTCTGATCCTAAGCACGTGCTCTTGTTGTCTCCATATTCCTTGAAACTTCCTCGTTACTCCTTCTATGGTATTCTCAGCATTCTTCTGTAGAACCCCAAATCTTTTGCCTCAAATTTCCTAAAACTAAAAACAAACCGCTCCACTTCGTTGGGTGTAAGGACCGTGGTTAACAATCCTGCAGGACAAAAAACAAGATCTATCAAAGAGCCGAGGAACTGTAACTAGGGCTGCTATCTCGATAAAATCGATGTTTATGTTGTTAGAAAACATCTGCTTAGAATCAGAAGGAGACAGTGGAAATTTCTCGAACCCGTGATAAGAAAAGAGGACAAATGTCACTTAGAGTAAAAAAGACAGGAAGTTGTAAAGAATCATAAACGTCCATATCCTGCAGAGAAATGACGCATAAAAAAAGAGTTGTTAAAACTATTAAAAAAGAATTAAATTCTAATATAAATCGATATCTATAACGTTATATAGAGATATCAACGATTCTATCCATTTCTTACAGTCGTGACTGGCTGTTACCCGATCCATCTAAAACAATAGCAGATTTCTTTTCACGTTTCATGTACCATTTTCAAAATCTACAAAAATTCAGATAATTTTCGATTTTCAATAAAATTTTCTTTTTATAACAGATTTAATTAAAATAAGATTAAATATTAATATTTTAATAATGTCAATAATCACATATATTATTTCCTCGCCAATTAATTAGCCGTTCTCCAAGCCGTCTTCTTATGGTCATATCACATTGAGACACCGGTTCACGTACGATCAATAAAGTTAAACAACGTTGAACTTAATCAGTACCTAGATGGGTAACCGCTTCGGAATACCAGGTGCTGCAATCTTGGATGTGCAGATGGTGTAAATGATAACGGCTGGGAATTAGAGAATCGGAGAGCCGAGTTCTAATTTCAATCGGTTTCGTTATATCCACATACTCCCAAATATCCATGGGAAAGGTATGAAGCCATCTCTTTTCCCCCAGCTACGGATTAATTAGTAGGACGTATATCAGTAAATCTCCAAAAATGTTTACAATCTAGAAATATTTCCTGGCTTTAAATAACCTGCATAAGGTTGATAAGATGTAAAGAAAAAAAAAACCAATCCAAGCCATTTGGAAATATTTTAACGATAGTTAGTCAGTTATGTGTCATGCGTGATACACGCTTAGGCGATCATGACTGACGAGGCGGATTTTTTTCCACAGTTGCCATTTCTTTCTGCAGTTGTCATCCAAGGCTATAGAACCGGCCTGTCATGCTATTTACCCATAGCTGGAGGGGGGGAGAAGAAGAGGATTCATATCTTTCCCAAGGGTATTAACACATAAGTGAATGTAATGGATTCGACTGAAATTCGAACACGACTCTCCGATTCCTCAATCTGAATAGCTAAGTCTGTTTATTTTATTTTCAGAAATCACAAAAAAATAGTAAAGTGCGTCTGGAAATAAAACCATTTTTTTCAAGCCACACAAACAGATTTTTTAATTGATTTCATACCAGAATCCTTCACGAAATTCAACTTGATTTTAAAAGAGCGAACGAGGTTTCTGGATATTTGTTGTTTGATTTTTTTATTATTATTATTACTCTGCTAAAACTTCGCCAGTCACTTACGTCAAACGCTGTCGAGTATGCTGCAGTACTTAAGGTAATATAGCAAGAAGAGCTTTTCAACATGGTTTTTTTTTTCATGATAACCTCTAGAATTTCGGCGGAATTGAGATCCGGTGAATTTCCAAACTATCTACCAAATCTATCTTTTTTTAATAAAGGCAAAGATAGCCAAGGCGAAGAGAAGAGAGGGATTAATACCTTTCCCAAGTGTATTTTTGCGAAAGCGAACGAATTCAGCCGCAATTTGAACCCGGATCACGTATTTCTTTTTTTTCCGAGTCGTTAATCGTTACACATCTAAAAGCAGTATTAAGCACAATTAAAGAAACTTGCGAACGACTTTGAAAGCAAAATTCTAAGTAAAAGATAACTATTTTTCTGCCGGACACTGAAAATAGCTCCAAGATAAGCGGTAAATTTTCATGAATACGTCGCTGTTCAGTCGAGCGATCCTGTTTCACTTCCGGCAAATTCCAATCCTGTTTTTGTGCGCTGAACCAAATATAACTCGGTCTCATCCAAACAATACATCCCCAAACCGGAGTATAATTATTCATCATCATATATGCGTCAGACATTTTTATGCCTTGGGAAAATGTTTCAACGATAAATTAATGAAATTTACACCTTATAATATGAATAATCAGTTTCTATAGACTGTGTGCTGATTGGTCCTTGTCAGAGTTGTCAATGACGGTCGCAGCTTCTTACTGTTACTGCCTATGCGGTTAAGAGATTCGTTTTCACTCACGCACGCTTTTCTTTGTCAACTCTTGTAGCATACCAGTGACGATATATCATTTCACAATATCTGACGAGAAATAAAACATGGACCAGAGAAAGGTGGGTTCATGACTTTTTCTAGATTATAAGCGCGAAGTAAACTCAAATAAATTTAACTGGAATTCGAACTATGTCCGCCGTTGCTCTTTCCGAAATGATAACTGCTACGCCACCCACACCTCCAAGATATTTAATGATATAGATCAGTTTCTCCAAACATTTTCTAGCTGACGTCCTCTTTGCTATCAATTTGCATTTCTGGCGCCCCACCCCAACAACCATATGAAGACACTTCTTTTTTGGTATTAGACATACAAAAATTCAAAACAACTATGGAATCACTTTCACTTATCGAATCTTTCCTGTCAGGTAGGTCTATGAAGGTCATCGTTAATGGCCATTCCTCTGAGGCATGAGTGATCAATTTTGACATCCCCTAAGACTCTCTCCTCGGCCCTACTCTCTTTCTGCTTTATATCAACTATCTTCCGAAGAACACTCTCAGATTCTTAGTAAATTTATATGCAGATGATACAGTGTAACCCGGATATAAGAGAGTTGTCGGGACCGGAGACTAAGTCTCTTATATCCGGGTTTCTCTTATATCCGGGTTTGGTCTATTTTATATACATTAACACAGGCTCTAATTTGGGACCAGTGAAAATCTCTCTTATATCCGGGTCTCTTATATCCGGGTTACACTGTACCACAATATATGGGTGCACCTCGGAAGACTTAGATGACCAGTGCCTGTCAACCGAACTCTCCACTGACCTAAACTTAATGGGGAAAAGAATGGCTGATATCATTCAATGCATCCAAAACTAAACGCTTAACATTTCATCACCATGGAGCAGACCTATAGCCCGCATCAACCCTGATAAGTGGACATACACCCAAAGAGGTTCCTTGCCTCGAAAGCCTACTAGGTTTAAAGCTCACTCCCGACCTTGAACGTGTATATTCGTGCCATCGCAAAAGAGGTGGAAAGAATGGTCGGTTCATTGTATCGCTCTAGAAAATGGTTAACTCCGGCTGCCATGATTTATCTTTATAATCAGATCAGACCAAGAATGGAGTTTGCTGCAATATCTGGGCTGGTGCTGGCCAATCCTTACTGTCCAGCTTCGACTGGGTCCAAAGGCATTTACGTGGTCTTATGGATGATCACTACTATATCTCTATTACTGTGGCAGGTGTTCGAACGCGTTACATTTCTTAGTGTCACCAGCTCGGACCATCACAGTTAGGACCTGCCATGCCGTGTTCACGGTGGCAAACCATCCCCATTCCCTTCGTGTTTCTTTGATAAAAAGCAAGTTCCACTCTGACAGTTTCTTCCCCAAAACTGTTACTTTGTGGAACAAACTCCCGAGAGAATGCTTTCCTGACAACTACAATCTTGGCTCAGAGTCAACCGATAGCTATCCTACTCGCCTCATAATACTTTAACTTCCCCCTTCCCTCTCACAATTTCACCCAGTAACCTTGAGTGAACCTTGAGCCTTGTATTGGGTGAACTCTCATTAAAAAATCTAACACTGTAAGCATTCATATATAGATTTTTTAAAATGTTATTACATAAGATGCCGCCAGACGAACATCCGTGACTGTATCAGTGAACCAACAAACCTGCATATGCTCTTACAGACATAGGGTTTCTGTTCTATCTAGTATGTAATGCGTCTGTCCAGATAAATTCAGAAAGGTATAAACGAACGTTTGCACTTCTAACATCTGGACCAAAAGAAAACAGACAAACGGGAAACCCAGGAGATACTGACAACTTTCTTTCACTAGAGTTTATATAAAAAGAGAATAAACGGTCCTTAGTAGAAACCCAAGTTTTTGTATGCTTCGATTTAATTGTTTATATATGATCATACATCCACCTAAAATATACACAAACACGCAACCTTTGTAAATTCCATAAACTCTTATGCTAATTTTATTATTTGTAAAGCATATGCGTTCCTTAAGCGAAAGTATCTTAGATTTTGTCAAAAAAAAATTGATTTTAATGCCACTCTCATTCACCCTACTACTCCCTTACTTCTAACAGCCGCCTCACCCCCATTATTCCCTATCGCCCCCAGATGGTGGTTGTGGTGGTACCACCCACTTTGGGAATAGTAGATATAGATATGGGGAGATCTTTTTTTTTTTTTTCGTTTGTCTCACTATTTCTATTCCAAAATGAATTTTTAAACTAACAGCTGAATTTATTACCCCTAAATTTTTGTGATTTTCTTGCAAGAATTTTAATAATTTCAATAAAATGTCTACAAAACAAAATTTATCCCTTTGTTAACTCTTGCAAATCTATACATACTACAGGGATACAATTTTCCTCCATCTTAAATCCACCTATAGCAAGCAGAACACATGCAGTCACTTAATACTGACAACCATGAAATGTTTCATTGAATAATATAGACATATTGTGTCTACTTATTTTTATACTCATCCTTTCCACTTGTTTAACCCAAGTAGATCGAAAGTGCTTGGGTTAAAAAAAAAAAAACTACGATACCTTCCTAGATGATTTTCATCTTAACATCAAGAAACAGATTAGAGAACCGGAAAGGATCACTATATAAGTAGACACAATATGTCTATATTATTCAATGAAATATGTTTGAATGAAGATATGCTGCCTACATACACATACACACATACATGGGAGTGAGTCTTAAGTATAACGCTAAAAGAATCTAGTATCGTAAGTAAAAGAATGTGATCTGGGATACTGACAACCACTGAACTAAATGTTAATGTATTGCCCGTATGTTAAGACGCACTTTTCCCCTGAAAATGTCCTCAAAAATCACTCTACGTCTTAACACTTAAAGATCAAGTTGTAGAGAGGAGTTTGCCAACCCTCACGAACTCCAGTCACCATATACAAGCAATCACGAACCCCAGACATATAAAATGATAAATATCATTTATATGTAATAAATACTGTATATTCCTAATGGTAATTACTGATAGAAGCCCCCATTAATTCGCGATGCCTAAGGTTTAAAATGAAAAAACTTTCTTGAAGCTTTCATTTTAGCTTTAATTGAAAGCAAAAGGATTAAATTTACTATTTCCAGTACCTAAAATACAATGAAAATGAATGAAAATAAAATGCAATGAAATTCTCTGCATTAAAAACTCCCCAAGAAATAAAATATACTTTTCTGAAACTGTATTCAGCTATTAGCTAAATAAAGTTTTATTCAGCTATTATTCAGCTAATAGCTGATTTAAAGTTTAATTAATCTAATTTGAAGCAAATAAGTTTAAAATAAAACGGAAATGCATTTTTAAGACAAATGGTAGCTGTGTTTTTAACCTACAGTAGCCATTTTTTAAGTGATTGACAAATGATGACAGGTTTATTGTTGTTCTACAGAGACTTTATCTGTAAAACATAATTTAAGAAAATGA